TGATCTATCACTAGCTCAAAAGCTAATCTGCTGATGCATTAGGCCCTTAAACCCGTCCTTATTTTTTAGCCCGTGATTTTTTTCTTTTACCTTTCTTTCTTTATTCAATAGTGCAAACCTTATACATGTCCAAGCAGGGTGAGGCAGAAAAATAATAGCAACAAAACGAAGCAAGCACAGATATAGTCAATGCAATCAACAATCGTCCCAATGTAAACAAAGGCTACAATGAATCGTTCCACTCTGTAATGGTGCTTGGGAAAAAGTAAACTTGAATAAATGTGTTCTTGTAAAATTAGGTGCTAGAGAATTTGTATCATGGTGGCGAGTAAGTCTTGATGATGAAAATGGAAGATAGAATGAGAGGGTAATTGTTAGTTTTGTATTGTTAATTGTTAGTTGTTAGTTGTTATTTGTTAGTTGTTATTTATATGTGTATTACACCTCAACCTCTACACAGCAAAGCAGTTAAAACAGAACAGAACAGAACAGATTCCAAAGAAGGCAAACAAATTGTAAACATGCTGCTTTACGTCTCAGAGCAAGGCATGGAATGTTGTTAACCTGCATTAGTACAGAATAACAAGATTCCATGCCTTGGTATATTGTTACAGAGAATGAGACATACGGAGAAAGTTTGGAATAAATAAACCTGACTGCTTTTCTTTGCACATTCTCCAGTTGAGTATTGTTGGTTTTAGTAAAGCGGTCCCACACTACAAATGCATTTTCAAGTTTCGGCCTAATTAGCATGGTATAAGCAAGTAGTTTTGCAGCTGCAGGAAACTGTTTGAGCTTATGTTATAAAAAGTACAATTTGCGGTATGTAGACGAACAGATACTCTTTATATGTGTATTACATGATAAGGTATTAGTAAGAGTTACACCTAAATACTTGTATACCGATTCGTGATGCAACGGTAATGAGCCTAGCCTGTATTTAAAAGGAAGAGAAGCTTTCCGGTGAGAAAAACGTAGACTGTCTTATCAATATTAGATTTTATGTCCCATGTGTTACACCATTCGGAACTTTTCGAAACAGTACAGTTGAGCTGGTGCTGATTGTTAGTTGAAGTGATTTCATGAAACAACATGCAGTCATCCGCAAACAATTTAATTTCAATGCTAGGATCAATCACAGTAACTATATTATTAATGCACACGAGAAACAACAATGGTCCGAATACACTCCCTCGAGGTACTTCTTGAGCCAACCGGAAGATAGCCAGACCGCCACTCATTAACTTCCAAACACTGGGATTGATTAGTCAAATAACTCCTGATCCATGTGCTTAAACTTTCCGGAAGTTCAATTTTCCTGAGTTCTAAAAGTAGTTTGTATGGCGGAACCTTATAGAAGACTTTGCTAAAATCTAGAAATACTGCATCAATTTGACAATTTTTGCCAAAGCATGAGGTGAGAGAATGGATAACGGTAACTAATTGTGTAACTGTCAAGTTGCCTTTTTGAAACCCCTGTTGGTAATTAGAGAGAACTGAATGTTCATCCGAAAATTCATTTATTTGATTGGCGATAATGTGCTCAATAAGTTTACACCTTAATGTTGTGAGTGATATTGGTCAATAATTTTCGAATGAAAATTGATCACTTTTCTTGTGTATGGGCACGACTCTGGCTACCCTCCAGTCATCCGGCAATTTACAACGAAATAACGAGTTACGGTAAATTATAACAAAAAATTTGAAATAGACTTATGACATCGCTTCCGTCATAACAAAGGGTTATGGTAGTATTTTTACCCCAGTACTGAGCGCAATATTTAATAACTCTCTGGACGCTTCACACTTCCTAATGTTTGGAAAAATGCCCGCGTTTTCTCACTGTTTAGGTCGGGCTGCGAAACTGAAACTTTTATTTATCACCCGAGATATTTACTGTGTGCAACATTAGTGATCCTTGACTGGCTCTGCACGACACATCCTACGTTAGCGTGAAGACGTTGGTGATTTTTAATCAGCATGGATTTCTTCCTGGCCACTCGACAACCACATATATTGCTAGTTTCATGACGTGAATCACCCCACTCATTACTCTGAGCGGACAGGTTGACGCTCTCTACGGTGACCTGAGCAAGGCTTTTGACGTAGTCAGCCGCACACTGGTATTGGTTAAACTTGCAAAGATTGATTTTGACTAGTTTGTTGTGAATCTTTTGCACAGCTATCTGCTTATTAGACTATGTTTAGTTGCCGTAAATGCCCAAACGTCTGTTTTGTACGAAGTTGCCAGTGGAGCCCTAAAGGCTGGGTATTAGGCCCACTCCTATTTTTATATACGTTAACTACATTTCTGCAGATCGTTATTTTTCCATTCTCCTGTATGCGTATGACAAAAAGATGTCTAAGTATATTCATTCAGTTAACGACTGTCACTTGCTGCAGCCAGATTTGTGTTCTTTTTCTGAAAATGTGAGAATAATTACCTTTCCCTGAATACCTCAAACACCAAGTCCATGCATATATCTCGCAAAACATCCATCGTGTCATTTCTATACTTTCTCAATAACGTGTCGTTATGTATGGTTTATGAGTTGAGTGATCTCGAGGTTCTGTTTGATAGCATGCTTAATTTTTCTGCTCACACTAAACGTAATGCCACGCGAGGCCTTCATTTTCTGGGCTGCTTTTTTGAGAATCTTTGAAAAATGCAGTTCTCCTTCAGCCTTCCAGAAATGGTAAATAAATATGTCGTCATCAACTTTAGTATGCATCTGTGATCTGTAATGGCGTCGCCGTATATAGTAATCAGGCCGCTGAGCGAGTCCAAAAAAAAAACGTTTAAAAGCATTTATAACCAACGTTTTCTCAGAAATGTCTCTGTACCTCATTCTTACACTGCCCGCTTATTATCATTGCCACCACTTCACTGCCGACGAAATCACGCTGACGTCTTACTTAAATATAAAATAGTTCACGGTATGATATGCGGCGCTTTGCTTCTCAGTTGTGTATAATTTTGGATTCGACGAAAGTTAAACAAAAAGAGTCGATCATGGGAGATGATATAGACTGCAACGAAAAGTTTTGAAGAAACCCGACGTTTCGACAACGGTTTGGTTCCTCCCTCAGGGGTGACTGCGTAGGCTACGTAGCAGCAGCGTCTTCAAAGCACTCGATGGGTGGCTCATGACTCCCCCTCTTTCTCTCTCGTTTTGCCGTGGAGCGCAGTTCGGGTGTGTACACTGGGGGAAGTGTTCCGAAATCAACATCAACCGCTCTCTCGGAACCCTTTCCTCAGTGTACACACACGTACTGTGCTCCACGGCAAAACGAGAGAGAGGGGGGTCATTAGCCACCACTCGAGTGCTTTGAAGACGCTGCAAGACGCTGCTGCTACGTAGCCTACGCAGTCACCCCTGAGGAAGGAACCAAGTCGGTTCCGAAACGTCGGGTTTCTTGCAAAACTTTTCGTTGGAGTCTATATCATCTCACAGTTTCATACCCAACCAGACTGACTTCAGTCAAATGTTTACATTCAAGAATAGATCATAACGTGTACCTGTCAACTTCTTTCAATATCCTACTGCGCACAGAATACAAAGTATATATAATGGTAAATTTTATTATCTAGATGATTTTCAAAGTTCATCGTCATGCCTTTTATCTCAGCTTTGCACTGTTTTAAGATAGTTTTCCACAATGTATAGATTCTACCCTTTTTAATTTTTTAGGAAGCCTTTCACATAGTTGTGGATATTCCCCTTAATTATCACTGCGATGCCGTGATTCTCTTCTCTGCTTTCTACTCTTCCCATTTCGCGCTAATTTCCTTTTGTTTGTGCACTTTTGCTGTTATTATTTTTTTGTTCTTTTGGAATGTATTGTTATGTTCGTTTTTCGATGATTTAATTTTGCGTGCGCCTACACGAATGCCTTATGATAGCTTTTGGGTACAGGAAATAAATTTTTAATATTGTATTGGTAAATAATAATAATAATAATAATAATAATAATAATAATAATAATAATAATAATCTTGCAATTTTTACTAGTAATAGTAGGAATATTATTATTGCTTTACGCTCTTCTACAAAAACATGTTGCAGCAACGGAAGTCAGCAACTCGACTTCTATAAAAAACTAAAAATAACCAAGTTCGTCTAACATGAGGGCTAAAATATATTCACATTTGCTGGAAATTTTACGGTCTCCAAACACGACTAGACTGAGAGACTCTCCAAAACAGACGAATGCGGGTTAATGTCGATCACCTCGAATGGTTTAACGTGCACCTAAACCTAACCACACCGATTTTCTTCTATCATTTGGTTACCGACGACACACAGTGGCGTGACACCTTTCGGGCTGAGCGACCACGGAGGGCAGCGCCTGAATCTCTACTGATCTATCCACGAAAAATTCGTCAGAATACTAATGTATGGAGTGTTTTAATGTAACTGCAAACCCGATGACAGCCGAGCATGGATATTGGTGCAGAAAAACGCGAAACTATGGTGTACGTGTGTGATAGAGAGAAAAGTTCCTTAATATGAAGCGTGGCTATATTCAGCTATCGGCATCCTATATGTACGTAGTGCAATTGTACGATCTGTGATTTTTGAATTCTAGCTGTTTCGGCTTTATGCTTTTGGCAAAAGTAACAAATTCTGCGCAAACAACATGTATTCATTAGGAAACGTTATTGTCGCCTTTGTTAGCACCTCGTGTGGCCATGTATCAGAACGACAGGTTGTTTAGATTCAGCGTTCAAAAACTTAAGACCACTACTTTCTTTGCGAAAACGATGCTCTGTACCTCTGTACGACCTTAATGCTGATTACGAGAACTTAAAGCTTTTTTTGGAGGATTAATTTTGTGTTATTTATGAATATTATTTTTCCAGGCACTCCACACATTTGAAAAAATCTGGATACGTTATCGAAGTTTCGAGAAACGCACTCTCGGTCACAAGCACAAGTGTGTGTACAGCAAAGTTCACAAGTATAACCCAAGGCATTATTTTCTTATACAGCATTATGAAGTAAACGGGGTATGGTAAGCGTCTTTTGCCCTTTTGATGATTTAAGCGTGTAGTAGATAACGTGAGAATGTTATGGCAGTGCTATCTGAAAATATGAAGCTAGTGCTTGTGAAAAATTACCTATAGGGAATCTCCTTACCTATTGGTTAAAGTGATGCATCAGGATAGAGTTGAGTTGCAATGTTGTGAAATTCCCTACTATTGCGCGGCGTCAATGTGACCTCTTTGAAGTGTGGAGTGATCGACAGCGTCTATTTTTATTTATTTGAATACCCTAAGGACCTGGAAGGACATTACATAGGAGGGGAGAGATTAGGAAAATAATCGAAGCCCCTCTTTATATGTTTTAACTGCAAAGCAAACGCGTTCCGCTAGGACATGCGTTTGCCGTCAAGAGCAGCTACAAGAGACATACAACATTTGATTAAAGAGCGCTCATTATTAACACTTGAAAACAGATGAGTAATATTATTTTATATATGACACGCGCATGGACAGATATTTGACGTTGGCGTTCGACACGTGCCGATTCGCTTAGCAACGGGTTCCGGAGAACTCAGAGAACAAGAAAAAAAAATGAATTCAGAAAACAGAAACCACACGACAACTTTCAAAAAGGCTGCCAAGGTGCTCTCACATTGTTAACACCGCTACCATGTATACAATGCGCTATTTTGTTGCAAATAACCTCAAAAAGTGCAACTGGGAAAAACTTTCATCTAGCAATAATCGCCCCTCAGTTCAAACTTCATTGAGTACGACACCACCGCTGCACAAAGCTAAAAGTGCTACTGAATTTTAGAAAATATGCCATCGTGGTCTTGTTCTCATTAAAGGCTCAGTCGTTGCTTGAAGTCATCTCGGCGGAAGGTGGTTTCTCGACGTTTATTGCACACTTAACTACATACTTTGGTGTGTAGTATTACCTATCACCAACAGCCGACGCTAACACAGGTTTGCGTTGAACCGGAAGACAACTTCTTGGGATCCAGTGAATCTGATTTCTGCAAAAAGACACACTGCACAGTACATCGACGAACAAACGGGACAAATGTATTAAAAAAACGTGGAGCCTTCGGGAATTCGTTGCTAGAAACGGTGTGAAGAAAAATCCTAATGCAAGAAAGGAATGGATGTCTTTATGAAGTCGTCGAAGATGAGTATCGACCAGGCAATAAACACAGATAACTTCATTCCAGAAGGGAGTGAGTTCCTGTGCATTTAGTTGACATGGGTATTCAAAGACGCGTTCCTATGGACAGACCAAAACCTCTGAATAGTTGGCATGCTGAAGACAATCGTAATTAATTGCAACAAAAATCAACGAATTTGGTTTATCTGTTGGAAGGATGCCTTTAAGAGGCAACATGAACAACCCAAAATAGACGAACACGTAAACAGGAAAAAGACCAAGGTATGAAACATAAAGATCAGTAGCACTAAGATACTGCCACACGCACTTCTACATTTTTATTTTTATGCTACGCTCCCACTACACTCGTAAACGTCATCTTGCGAAAACTGCGCCAGAGCAACCGGGGATTAAGTAAGTTTAAGAGGTTTTGATGAGATGACGCGCACAACGCGAACATTTAAATTTCTTCTGAAACTTACGCAGCCACTAGTGATAACGCTGGAATCTTCAGTGACACAGGTGACACGCTGCTGTCAGTTGCATTGTGAATCGCTCACACGTTGTGTTTCCAATTTTTAGGCATAGATTCGCCTTAATAAAAAATTAGGTTTAAAAAAAGCTGACTGCTTCTTACGTCAACACCACGACCACGCCACAGTATAATGTTCTGATTGTCAAATCACACAATTCTAATTGTTGAATTGAGTTCCATCGCCAGAAAGAACAACCGTCGCGTAGTTTTATTGACCGCCCCGCCACGGTGGTCTAGTGACTAAGGTACTCGGCTGGTGACCCGCAGGTCGTGGGATCGAATGCCGGCTGCGGTGACGGCATTTCAGATAGAGGCAAAATGCTGTAGGCCCGTGTGCTCAGATTTGGGTGCACGTTAAAGAACCCCAGGTGGTCAAAATTTCCGGAGCTCTCCGCTATGGCGTTTCTCATAATCATATGGCGGCTTTGGGACTATAAACCCCAGATAACAATCAATCAGTTTTATTGGTCAGTGTTATCCAGAGCGCGCGGGACCGCAACGCATGATAGGTTAACTTCAGAAGCCCAAGTTTACGAAAACAAATTGCAGCTTCTGTTCACTCGACTGCGAGGGTGAAAAAAGACTTTATTTCTTAAAACGATCAATTGATGGATATGTGGGGTTAAAGTCCCAAACCACCATATGGTCATGAGAGACGCCGTAGTGGAGGGCTCTGGAACTTTCGACCAACGAAGTTTTTTTAACGTGCACCAGTATGTGAACACACAGGCCTCTAGCATTTTCGCCTGCATCGAAACTGCAGCCGCCGCAACTGGGATTCTATCCCGTGCCTTGCGGGCCAGCAGCCGAGCATCTTAGTCACAAAACCACCGCGCCGAAGCGGGCTATTTCACACAGTTGGCTGGCAGTTTGGTCTTAGTGGCTTCAGGTGGCGCCACCGAATGCCTGAACTGAGGCGGCAGCCTCGGCCTACCGGACGACGCGCTGTTGGGCGTTTAGCTCTCAGCTTTGGAGGGCAGCCTTGCATCGGCGGCGGCGCAGACGAACAAGGTCCCCAGCCGCTCCTGAAGCTCGGTGACGGGGAGAGAATGAGTGAGCTCGAGGCTACCTGTGATTTGGAATGTAGAGCCGCTATAGGCGCATTGCTATCGGCAGTGTTTTCACGACAGTTGTCGCCGGTGCATTCCCAGAGCTTTTGGCTTAGCTTTTCTCGGCCGCCACATGCTTTACGTGGATGGGTGGGCTGAGCCGTATTTTGTATTCTTTTTATTCGACTGTATGAGCCTTCTGCCCACGAGATATATCTGCTCCTAGTGGGGTTTAGGACTGTCTCCTGCACCAGGGGCAATGAAATGTTGGACACGTCAACTATCGCTGGGATCGGCCTCTAAAATATGAGATCGTGAGCTCGCAAAGGTGTTGATATATGTTGTATCTATAAGTTTGTGGTTGTCTTCGGCATGATCATACAAAATCAAAGGGCTGAGTATATACTCGTAAGCCACAGGGTACACGTATGAGCGCAGTGGGGCGCTCTTTACTTTGTGGAAGGAAACAGCGGCGAGGATACTGTTAGAAGGATGTGATTACTGGTATGAGACAGTGACAAAGAGGGAAAGATGAAGCCCTTCAGGTAAACGCTGAAACCGTGTCCGGCTTACAGGAACCGCAGACGTACCAAAATAAAGTTGTGGGCAAAAAAAAAAAACAGAAGAAGAGAGCAGTAAAGAAAGGTGTCTGAGGGTTTATTATCCATTCGTGCAAGAAGAAGACAATACAAAAGTTAATATAATTTCTTCTCAGTCGACTGTATGAATCACTTCTCGCTCCACCGCCCGAAATGCCCACGGCCCTATACTGAGTCATTATTCTTGTCATAGTCAATGTGTCTCTGGTCACAAAATAACGTGCATTTCTTTCTCTAATGATAGATGCCTGCTGGGGTGTTCAGGTGGCACATCTTCAAAGAGTAAAGACTTATTGTATATGATTTTCATAGGGTGAGCAGTTGTTATCTATTTGTTGCAATGAGACACTAAGGCTGTGAAATTCTTGTTGACGAAACTATTTTAGGAGGACCACACAGAGCTATGCAACATTGCTTCAAGGAAAAGGTGGTGATCCAATAATGCGTCTAAGCTACAGGCCAGGTAACGTACACGAGTGCATCACATCACCTATGTGTTCACGGTGTGGTAGTTGTGAAAGTTACTTTTTATACAAAAACTGAGAGCAAAAGCTATACTGAAACATAAAGGAATGGTGTTGCGCCGATGCCCTGCACTTTAAGCAACACCGCAACATTTTCGCTCACTAGTGTAATGGCGGCCCATACTAAACATCTTAACCGAACAATGACTCACCTAAGAGAAAACAATGCTGTGCTGTCAAGTCATTACCAAATACCTGCTTACTCTAAGCCGGGCACACAGAAATTTCTAATTCATTTCCTTATGACGAGCGCACATCAATAACGCGCTTGTCCAATCAAAGTTTGTCCGTGTTCAAATCAAAAAAATATACTTTCCTTATTGCGTATGAATGTACAGCTCTGGAGTTCTGCAAGACGCGTAGTGCCATCTGTTCGGAAAATTAGTAGGTGTGAAATGAAGATATGGTTAAAATTTTGTGTTTTGCTTGCTTAGCACTACGACAAAGAGCTGTGAATTTTTCACAGGTAGTTAGACAAGAAACCAAACCGCCATAAAGTTCTTGCTGGATCTTTCTTAAGAAGAATGGAAAAAGCAAAAGGCCACGCGACTGCGTAGAGCGAGACGACAACATGCCACAGGCGGCGCTAATGTTGCGTTGTGAATGGCCATCGACGTGAATTACTCAATAAGAACGCGTAGTTTTAATAATTTTTAGAGCTGTTGCAGCAAGTAGAAAAGCAAAAGCAGTGGTACGGCCAATTTACAGTGTTTGGTAATTTCCTTGCTAATATCCTCCTCAGCTGGTCATGTGAGGAAGTGTAATACTGCTGCCTTGCTCTTATTATTTTGTGCAACCCTGACAGAAACTTAGGGTAACCTCAAGTATGCAGCTATGCAGAACATTTGAACACAGTGCGCACCGTGTATTACAAATACTGTGAGCAGCAAGAATTAGGAAGCATGATAAACATCACGAACACTGTCAGTTCACGTAATCTCAATTAGTAGATATATAAGTGCGTGTGAAGAACACTTTTATGGAGATTTTGCAGCCCCGTAAGAGCCCTTTAGACAGGGGGAGTCCTTACCCTGGAACCCCAGTGGACAAAGCCGCTACCCGCACCCGTTCGACTAGAGCTCTTTGAGCCTCCAGCCCACGCAATTGAGTAGGGCTGCCTCCCTTACCTCTCTAGTGGGGGAAAGGTTAGGGGGAATGGAAGGGGTTCGTTCATTGGCCTTACTCAGGCCCTTAGCCGGCACAGGGAAAATTCGATGGTGTTCGCAATAATACATCAAAATTTCTCTGAATCGCAGAAGCGGTTGGCAAGTCTCTGAGCCGGAATAGCCGGGGTGAGGTGCCCGGTGATTAAGCGCGCGGGCGGCTGCATCCAAACTCTCGTTACCTCTTAATTCCTGGTGGCTAAGAGTCCAAACGATGCGTTTTGGGTAGGGTCGTAGTCCCTAACGGCTCGCTTTAAAATAGCAGACGCAGAATAAAGCATCGTGTACATAACATTTGTTCTTTCAATAATCTGCTTCTAACTAGAAAACGCTGAAACGTGCGTCACGCAAGTAAAGTGGTTTTCACAGACGGATGTGATCACGTATGGATCAATCACGTGACATGTAACTTGATTCGAATCCCTCCCCAGGCAGCATTCACACGACAGGGGAGAGTTCACGCTACAAGCGAGGATTTCAGCATTGCTCCCCAAAGATTGCAACTGTAATTTTAGCTTCCGTCAGTTCACGAATCACTCCGCGCGGACCGAAGCGTGGACGCAAGAATTGGTGACGTGTGCTGACGCAGTACGCAACCCCTAGGCTGAATCACAATTTTGTCCCTCTTAGGAATGCAGCTTAAGTCGTAAAACATTGGCCATGATGACTTTCTGGTTTCTTTTGCTTTGGTGTGTGCCCTGCGAAATTCGGCAAGTACGTAATTTCATCTTCAGTATGTAAAATCGAAGACGACCATCAACAGAGTGTTAAAAGATACGTAATAAATAGTCCAACCTACTAAAAGTGAGAGCTGCACGAGGAACACCACTAAAGAGATGGAAATTGCCGGCACCATTTTGAAATGATAAAGCTGAATGGGTATCTCTGATCGTAAGATTCATATCAAATTACATCGATCATCAATGTACGTACTTCCTCGCTTTAACAAGCTCAGATTTAGCACATTTAGGCTTTGCAGAACAGATGTCGGAGGGCTTATATTTGAGGGTACCAATGCACCAAAATACCTTAATCTTTTTTCTGGTACCCACTGCTCATTTTTATGTATTCCTCACATTTCTGAAGCCTAGATTGTCAGAAAAAGCTTCCCAGGTTATTCATTTTTCAGGAAGCTCCTCCGGACACGACCGAAAGATGAGGTTCTATTCTGGCATATGCATGACTACGCAAGTGCCTATGACATTTTCGAATGATACTCCTTGCAATACCCGATTCGCTCCCGGGTGGCGATGGATGCGCCAGTAGCAGATTTTTTTCACAGCGCCGCCTCTACCGATTCTTATGGCCGAAGAATAGCTCAGTAAGGTATCGTAATGACTTCAAGACTTGAGAAGGACGGCAATGCGCAAGATATCGCAACGCAAGCATGTTTCTGAAAGTACAAATATTTATTCCCTGAATATGTCAAAGCATATACTCTCCCACCTTCTAATAACTAGCGCTTTGCTCGAGCATGCACAACGGTGTTTCAGCAGATAATAGTCTAATCATTCTTACTTGCGTGTTGGTGTTTTAAGGAGTTGACAGGTCGAAAAGACATAAAGTAGCTATGCAATAGGCAGAACTAGTTGAAAAAAAGAAACCATCTCAAGCCAAGGACCGTAAACGTAGCGAAGAGTAAAGACACGTTTGCGAAAAGAATTGCGGCACTGTTGTTGAAATAATTAAATGCAAAAGCAATCATGTGGAAATTGGATATCTGCAAGGAAAGCGTCTAAAACCAAAATTTCTCAGATGAAAGCATAAATTGTAGACATTACGAATAATTTCGCGCAAAATAGTCCAAAATAACTGCATTGTTGTACTGCAATATTGCAGCAATGACGTTCTTTTCGCACGCCATGCATGGCTTTTTCGAAGACGGCTAGTCATACCAGCAATATTAAGAATAATACTGGACAAGTCTGCGTAATATCACAGTTTCTGTTAATTTTGATAGGAACTTCTGTGGTAACGTCTCGCGAGATAACGATGTCGACCTAATATTTTTAGTCGCAGTTTATACCTATTTCTAACAAATGAAACGAGCAGTTCTTCAGAGACGTGGTTTCTAATATCGATGAGTGAAAAATGCCCTTGATGCGGAGTTCTTTCTGTTGTGCTGTTCACTTCCGCTCACGGTTTAGTTGTGAAATGGGGCGCCCATAAATGCTTCCCTTCCAGTCCCAGCCAGCTATTCAGATGTTTTTATTTGGATAATGAAAGCACCGAATTCAGTACTAAGAGCTGCAGATATTCCTTGGTGACAATGTTTGGCACAGTGTACTAGAACACCTGTAGCTGCTACTTCGGTCTCGCTTGACTACGACGACAGCGTAGTGCTGGCCGACTGGATTAGCACTACACCATCTCCTGCTGCGGACAAGAGCTCTCGCCAGTGGTGCCCCGTCCTCGGACTCCTGCGACCGTGTTCATCTTTCCTATCTTCTATTTACTTCCGTCGCTCCCTGTCCGTGTGCCTCTCTCTCAATATATACACCTTTAATCATATCCTTTTAATCCCTCTTACAACCTTTCCTTGTGAGGTACTGTTGAGGTGTTGCACCAGATGCAGAGTTACGGGGCTCACTCTTCTGTTTTTTTTCCTTTTAGAAACACATAAGCTGCGACTTCACAACTTATTTCTAATTTGGCTGAAGTTTAAGCAAGCGTAAACCAGCCGTAAGGTACCTAAACCAAGGTTTTCGTTTTGCCGCAACCGGCCTAAAAAAGTAGTGAGAGTGGCACAAAGTGTCTCCACCTGGCAACCTTGCCTCTTATATGGCCTCGTTGCATCCGCCACAATAATCTTATCCTTGCAGAACCAAACCCACTTTCACACTCTATATTGGCAACCTCTTTATGCCACAAATGTACTTTGTAACCGTAACATGTTTAAACATCCGTCACTAAATATTTGAAAAATATTATCAGACATTGAGCACATTAGTCCTAAAAAAGCTCAAGGTATTTCAGCATAGCGATCGACTTGATTGATATGTGGGGTTTATTGCGCCAAACCATTATATGATTATGAGAGATGCATAGTGGAAGGCTCCTCCAATTTCGACCACCTTGGGTTCTTTAACGTGCACCTAAATCTGAGCACATGGGCCTGCAGCATTTTGGCCTCCATTTAAAATGCAGCCCCCACAGCCCCGGTTCTATCCCGCGACCTGCGAGTCAGCAGCCGAGTACCTAAGTCACTACACCACCGCGGTGGCGCAGCATAGCGACAAGAAAAAGAAAATGGTAGCTTCCTAAAAAAGAATTATGAAACTCAAGCATTTATTTTGGTCAACATCTTTATTAGACATAACAACTGGACAGTAAAAATAAACGAACGTGCATTCTTTGAAGTTTTCTCACGTAAATTCCAACTATTCACCTTCTACACAGGAAAACATGGCATTGATCACCACCTAGTTTTCTGGCATGCCGTGGAGCACTGCTTTGTTTTCACTCGTGACGTCGATGGTAAGTAAATTTAAGCTCACTTATTAGCAACGCTAACATACCAACGCACATACCTGGAACAATGAAGATGTACCTTTGATAGTTACTGCATCACAAACGCATGTGTAATTTCTCGGCCTCCATCACTACAAATCAATACTCGAATTTGATCATTTTCCTTCACGAAATCGCACGAGTATTTAAAAGTGTTTCATGGCCTACAATGCTCGTAGTAGGCATTGTATACGAACCTTGCCTTGCGCCTAAAACCCGCAAACACCCTCGCCGTTCTTAAGAATTTGCTGTGCGTCCTGCGTCCGTACAGGCAACACGGTCAATACCGAGGAATCGAAACAGGTAGAGGCAGAAGAAAAGAAAGTTATTTGAGACCAAATAAAAAAAACGCTATTTCATGCTACTCATTCTCGGGACATGGCTCAGTGCCATAAGAAATGGGGAATGGGGATATAAATCTTACAGAAATAAAGAAAGAAGATATCTAGAAAGGCGAGGAGGTGACAAGAGTATTTTGTCTGTTCGGGAAGGGAGCACGAAGCCATGACAATCTTCTATAGGGCGTCTAGGTCCGCAGTAGCCTCAAACTTTAAAAAGGCACGCAGGACAAGTATTTTGAATCGTGCGGAAGAGAGAAAATTCTCCACAGTTATCGCAGGGAGACCGAGCAGGTGGTAGCGGAGCACCATCTGGCATTGTTTACCGGTGCAAGCATGGCAAAAGCAAATAAAGCTACTGCGTTTGCACGTCTAGGCAGAGGAGCAAGAGGCTGGGCAAGGAATATCTTGCCTAGAAGAGAGGGCGCAGCAGATGCATGGGAGAAATGAGGACCACGAATAGCCTTGTCTTGGCGTAGTGTAGCGTCACTGCAAATATGTGACATGTGAGATTTTATCATACATTTAACCTCTTCGTGCACGTTAGGACACTGAATAGAAACACCAGAATGACAAACTAAAATAATGCATTGAGTGTATACGTGAATCTAAGTGGTGCAAGCAAAACAACCAACGATTCATAACGCACACAGTCTGTGCAGGCAACCTAACCAGCATCGTCGGTAATCAGTCCCCGTGAAAATATAGGCACTCCAGGGGTCTTTTCAAGGTGGTTTTCTTACAGTAATTGAATAATAATATTATTGTGTGGGTTCATATGAAGAAGAGAAAGAGCTGCAAATAATGATGATTTCCAGATCAGACTGCCTATGTACTTGTGCTGAGGACGAAGAGATTAGAGTCAAAAGCAATATATGAGAACTCCTTTAAGAAAATTTTGGTTTTGTATTTTGCATGAGGTCTCACTTGTGGTCTCGATGCCAGGAAAGGAATCAATTACGCTATCTATAGTTGTACTACTGCCACACATAAAAGATATTGAAGGTGCATAATTCCTAACTATTATTGAATGAAAAATGTCTGGCTTCCGTGCTTTCTACAATAGCAGAAAAAAATAACTGTATGAACGGCGCAATTTTTTTGTTTCATTTGACCATACAGTGAACGCTCGAGCAAGCGGCCCCACCTGAGCCAGCACCCCCCCCCCCTCTTTCAATTTCTCAGTTTATTTCATATTTCTATGCGGTCTCTTCTTCACTGCCTTTTTTCCCCTTTTGTTTTCACATTGTTTATCTGCCCCACGAGGTTTAATAAAAACTGTGTATGCATGAGTATTCATAACATAACTGTAGCGCAAAAAAAACACTGACAAGAAAGCGTACACCACAAGCGCTTACTCACTACTGAAAGCTTTATTGCTTGAACCAAAAATATATAACACTTACACTAGGTGCCCAACAAAATCCAGCACATGTGTATCGTGAGCAAAACAGCAGGCACTAATACAAACCAAAAACACCTCTTGCACACCTTTCCCCACCGGTCTACCTCCTTTCCATGAGTAGCACGACTTCCTTTTTCGATAAGACCAAAGAAATATTGCCAACGCTGATGGGCGCCCTGGCGTTGAAGTGGTAGGCCTCGACAAGTTCTCCTGTCGTGCGATCGTGGTATCTAAACAATACCTCTTTGGCGGAGAACTGCGCTTCACACTGGTATTCAGCGCAGCGCATGGCCATGTGCGTTAGGGGCCTTCCCTCCAAGGAAGGGTGATGCTCCCTAAGACAAATGTTTAAACATCGGCCTGTCTGGCCCACGTAGACACGACCACACGACAGAGAGATGGAATAGGCGACGTTGGCCCTACACGACACGAATCTAACCTTGTAGTTAATAGAGCAACTGTGCGTCCAGACCTTGTCAAGCATGTTGCCGACCATTGGACATAATCTCTCTAGCTTGTTTTTATCAGAAAAAAGTGCCTTCAAGCCAAACACTGAGTGGTTTTGTTAAGCGGATATGAGAGCCCGTGGACATATGGTGTAACAGCTATTTCTGCATTGTGACTGCGTGTATCGATACGTTTTATCTGTTTGACAAGGCGCTGGCAGGTGGTACGTATCACCGAGACAAGGAAGGCTACGTTTTTTAGACGATACACTTGCTCTTAAATAAAGAGTTTAATTATAACCACGTATGTGCATCTTGATTCAGAGTGACTCTTCCACCACCATCTTCAATCTGACCTATGACCATGCCCGCCCCCACCCCCTCCCGCCTCCAAATCTTGTCGAATTGTAGTTCACCTTATTAGTGGGCTCTTTCTCGGAATTCTACAATATGGCACTCAACAATGCCTCTGTTTGGTAAAAAACAACAGCAACAAAACGAAAAGTGCAGCATCATCGAATTAGCGTCGCGAATGCTCTCCAAGGAGTGAAGTCTCCTTCGTCGTTTTGTCTGGCGTGATAGTAAGCTGGGATTCCAATAAAGACCCTTTCGTTCTAACTTCTCCTTTTTTTTCATTCGAAGCTCTTGACTATTTGTTGTTCACTTGCGCTTTGATTCCCAATGACTTGCACGGTCTTCTGTATCAGAATGACGACGATATTGCCGTTAAGGCACCAATACCAGTTAATGCTCCTACCTCGACGGGGCAGCTTCGTTTTACGCAGAACAGACGTCATTACAACTCGCTGAAGGTTTTAGGAAGACCACGAGTCTCATGGATCACATACGTTTGTCTATTGCCGGCAAACGAAGACTGATTTCGCCTTACTTCACACTGCGCAGTTCACGGAACGTTGGGGACAGTTATAGACAAATTTATCATTTTCAGTGCACTGATGGTGAGCAGTGGCGTTTTCCAGTTTATGAGGAATATACCCGCAAGACTAGTTCATCGTCACCATCACTATCATGGTCAGCCCAATTACGTCCACTTCAGGACAAATGCCTCTCCCATCATCCGCCAGTCAAGCCAGCCCTGTGCCTGCTGGAGCCACTTTATTTCCGCAAACTTCCTAATCTCACCTGCGTATCTAACTTTCTGTCTCCCCCTGACCTACTTGCCATCTCTGGAAATCCAGTTACTTATCCTTAATGGCATCAAGAGAAAGGTATGTAAAAGTTGCCTCTTGCTGGTTTTAACCTATATGGAGAAGAAACCTGAAGGCTTACAAAGAGAGTTCAGCCTAAATATAGGACGACGCAGTGAGCGATGGAAAGGAAAATGATAGGTGTAACCTTCAGAGACAAGAGAGCAGAGTGGATCAGGGAACGAACCAGGTTCAAGATATAATTGAAATCAAGAAAAAGAAAGGGACATGGGTGTGGCATGTAGCGCGCAGGCAGGATAACTACAAAACTAGTTATAGAGATTTTAATATTTAGTGCATCTCTTATGCACTAAATATTAGTGTCAAATTTATCTCGAACATACCAGCTGCGCACTGAGAGACGCGTTATTAATTTCGTCCCGGGAAACCTCGGTCGTGGAAAAGTTCGCTGGAAATGATTGATATGTGGGGTTTAACGTCCCAAAACCACCATATGATTATGAGAGACGCCGTAGTGGAGGGCTCCGGTGATTTTGACCACCTGGGGTTCTTTAACGTGCACCCAAATGTGAGAACAGGGGCCTACAACATTTCCGTCTCCATCGGAAATGCAGCTGCCGCAGCCGAGATTCGATTCCGTGACCTGCGGGTCAGCAGCCGAGTACCTTAGACACTAGATCACCGCGGCGAGGCAGTTTGCTGGAAAAAGTAACCTGTAAGGATGCGTAAGGCAAGAATTAATGCTAGCGCAAGAGGTTGTTGTAATGGTCTGTGCAAGAAATAAAAGAAAAAAAATGCCTCCTTATCATAATATTTCCTGCAATTTACAGCTGGAGTTTGTGTCAAACAGAAGTTGTTTTAAGCATCTAAATTCTCAAAAATCAGGAAACGCAACATTTCGTTGCTGCCTTCACTAAAGGGTTTGCTGTAGAGGCAGACTTCCTAAAACAAGCAAACACGTCTTTAAGACAGTATGTACAAACCAAGGCTAATTAACCTTTCATAAAAGCATTGATGTGGTTTTGCCAAATGGAAAGAAAACGAAGTTCTTCAAGCAGCTTCAAGATATACATCTGAGATATCCGTAGCAGCGTTGAGGTATAAGAAAAGGGGCCTCTAGTAAAAGTTCTAGCTTCATGAAATTCGGCCAAGTTTGACGGTGAAAGCGAAACAGAAGGACTGATGAGCACCACAAGCAGACGACCAGAATGACATCATTGTTCAAGACACAATCACTGTGGTGTAGCGCTTAGGCGTTTATAAAAGTATGGGCGCCGTACGGGCTATAATTCTAAACTCAGCCAATTCAGCCACTCCAGGGTGTCCAATTATGGTTGTTTTAACGACGCCCACTCAATCTAGACATGGATTTTGACAGGTGTGCTCCTCCGAAATTTGGTTTCCCTGACATCGCTGAAGTTATGCAACTTTAATTTACTTCGTAATAATTACCCATGGCCACTCTTCCAATACCTCAAAGGTGTAGCGTGTTTTCAAATGATGAACTTCATTTTTCGCACTTGATATAGCCTACGAACTCCACTAAACGCTACTTCCTTAATGACTCTCCCAAATGATGCCATTAGCAATAAGAAATATTGCATTTGCCTGCAAATTGAGAATTTTAAACATGTTTCTTGAATGTCCAGTCTTATGAATGAAGAGGAGCAGGGACTAAATAAAGCCTGCACACACAGTCCACAAGACACTGCCCTTACGCGCATGCCTTGTGATCTACGCTGCCTGCTCCCTGGCGAAACGGATCCTGCAAAGTTGATTTAGACAAACGCATAGAGGAATATGCAACTTCATAACTTTGCTACAGTGACAGAGTGTACTATTTCTCGGTTTACTACACCGTGCTGTATCATTGCGTCTACGGTTTGTCTGTGCCTCAAACTGTGATCGTGGAAGCGCATCGAACAAAGTGGCATAGAGAAGAGCGCAGGCACAATCGCTCACACAGTGTTACCTTCTTAAAAGTAAGCGCTGTGTGAGATTATTCACGTGCCATCAGGGTTAGACTTTCTTTGTGTGGCTTTTGCGTCATCGCATATCTAATATGCCAATGTACTTTTGTAGGCTTAGGCATCAATATATCTGGGCTTCTGCTGCTAATATGGTGGTGTTTAGAGTTTCACTGGGTGATCTTGTCTCTGCTACATTATCCGAAACGAATAATCATAAAGCACCACATCTCCCTAATGTTTTGTGAATGTATTTTACTCAACCTTTACTGCTTGGGTATCGCAGATTATCTTTGTAACCACTGATATGAAACATATATTTACAATGACAAACTGTTTTTTTTTTTTCATTTCAGGAACAAACCAATGCGAGATGTGGGTATGGGGCGATCACGTTCGGAAACATGTGCCCCAGTGTCAGATGGCATATAAGCGGCACTGCCTCGTGCAATACCCGGTATACACACATGCCTGTGGAAAACCCTAAAAAGAAGGATGCGAAATGTTATTTAGTGAATATGGCGATGCTTACAATTATGAATTATTACTATAGGAATTCGCACTGCATGTTATAGGATAATATATTTCTTTGATTACTTTTGCTTTTGTACCTTTCTGAGACTTGCAGTCTAAATTCTCAGTGACTGTTTATAAAATTTTGTAATCCAGGTGACAGCTACGACGCACAAATATTTTACATGATAAAATTATGCATCAGGAATAGGTATGCAAACATTAAAAATATTTGAAGCAGTGAACACACAAGTGTTGCTTGATAATTAGTGTACTAAAGTTGAAAACAAGTTGCCTGATTAGTTATGCATTTCTCCCCTTACTTCGTTCACATCACCTTATTAGTGTACTCCGTTAAATACTCTCATGAGAATTAGAGCAGGTTGGGGGGGGGGTGGAATGCTCAGAAAGAGAGCTGCAGCTGCTTTCTGTTCACATAGGTATACACGAAAAGGGAAGACGCTGGCGGATTGTTCTGCGAAAACTGTTTATTATTTCGGAAGATCCAGGTTGATTGATATCTGGGGTTTAACGTCCCGAAACCAGCATATAATTATGAGAGGCACCGTCGTGGAGAGCTCTGGGAATTTCGACAGCCTGGGGTTCTTTAACGTGCACCCAAATCTGAGCGCACGGGTCTACAACATTTTCACCTCCACCGGAAATGCAGCTGCCGCTGCCGGGATTCGATCCCGTGACCTGCGAGTCAGCAGCCGAGTACCTTAACCACTAGACCACCACGGCGGGGCGGAACTTCCAGGTCGACCTGCACCTTGCAGCCTCATGTGAGAAAATGAAATGCTTGCAAATTCTTGTCATGTGATACAGTATGTTATTGCTTCAAAGACGCTGGCTTCACGGCGGCCGTATGTTAGCTGTGCACGTTTCAGGCTATTTGCGAGGTTATCGTACATACATGACGTAGTTGTGAAGTGGCAAAGCCATTGTGCGTAGTGTTTATATTCCAGTTTTAAAATGGCTGCGTGAAAAACAGGTGGCCCATGTAATATCGAAGACACTGCTTTTGTTTCTGACGTCACTTGAAGAATAAACAATAGCGAGAGAAAACGATGACTCATGAGATAAACCCGCTGGATTATACGCACAATATTTGTCATCAGAATGTGGACATTGAGCATGGTGTGTTTGATAAGTTTGGTGCATTAATCTACCAGCGTTACCCTTACAGACCTTAAGCAAGTAAGGTTTTTAATTCATCACCTAGTTTCGTGGCACACGAACAATATTTGCAACCTTGTCGGCATACGTGTTTTGTTGTATTGTTGCGGTACCTTCTGGACAGAAATAGGTGTTATGTTAGCCTAATTTTTACGCTTAAAAGATTGTCCAATGGACTGATTGATTGACTGATTGATGGATTGATATGTGGGGTTTAACGTTGCTTAAGAGATTCACGGGGCAGGGTCTACGTGCAATATTCTCGCTGGCTCTTTTCTTTGTTATAATGAAATTGTTGATTCGGGTTTCTTAACATTCATTCAAATTGATCCCTCACGTCTAGGCTAATGAATGTAATGTACGGATGTTATATTTTGACTTGCAAGACTATATCTCGCTAAATTAAGCAGGGATGGCTATCGAGATGATTAGCATGTATCGCTTGTGAATTTGTTCAAGTTAGCGTATTGAATGTTCCGAACAAAGAGGAAGAAGCAAATATGTATGAGCAAACATTCTTTAAACTACAAAGGTAAACATAGTGCCGAGACCGTTCGAAAGGGGAAAACGCTTTTTAAGCATTTTGTTAGTTAGAGAAGAGCTGCTGAGTGTCTGACTGCACAGACCAATAGCATAGTCGTCGTGGTGCATAATTTTTTTTTCGCACTTCATATGCATGCATTTGCTGCTGTAGACGGCTCTGAGAGCAGCAGCCTCAGTACTGTCTTAAGTTCAGAACCAATGAGATAGCTTTGAGCATTTTCCTTCGCATGCCTCAGAAGTAGACGTTTATAGCAGAGGCGAAAACACTAGACTCTCGATAGTAGGGCCCCAGGTTTAAAATCCTGGACCATCAACGAAAGGAAGATATTCTATAATATTATGAAAAATTTAGTCGCTGCAGCAAAGGGAACGCAGGAACCTGATCGACAATGTACCTTCACAGGCCTCATGCATAAGGGGCAAAATTTACGCTGCAATTACTTGGTTGGAGTCTAGAACGACAGCGTACTCTGCCATCCTCATTTTATGATAAAGACGCTGTAGCCAAAAAAAAGAGAATTGAAAATATAGAAGTTCAAATTTCAAAACCATACTATCGTACCGTTCTCACAGGTCAGAGGTTTTTAAACGTGTTGGTCCTAGGAAACACTACTTAGTTCTATTATGTGCTAAAGCACCTTCCTCCCCACTCTTTCAGACAAGCATTTCTCATTCGGTTCAAGCTACGTAGAGACACGTAAAATAAATATAAAAACTAGGGCATATACGAAATCGGTTCACTAACGTGCAACTTTTGTTGCACCAACTATTCATGTTGACTATTCGTGGTGCCTCAGACCATTCGTGCTTCGCATCAACAGGTAAGTGACCAGTGGAGTGCGGAACCAGGAAAAACTGGTAAGCGGCTCGTCGTATGCTATCGAACGGCCTGCAGAACCGCTATGCTCCGCGAAACTGACTTTGAGAAAACGGTATAGATCACTGTCAAAAAGCTGGAGTGACTTTTTTTTTATTGCTGAGTATTATCAAAGAGTTTTCGTTTCGAGCACGCAACGGCCTCGCGCTCGCAACTAGTGAGAGCGAGCAAGACTGCGCATGTGCTGAACCTAGGAGAGATGCATGCGTTTGCGTGCGTGAGAGATGCGCACGCTATGGCCGTCGCGTTTCTTACCGGCGGCTGTTTCGCGATATCTCGACGGCGTTGAGCATCGACGGCATGGCTGCTGCGAAAGAAAGCTACGTTGGTCCGCTACTGCAGCTAATTTCTTCGCCTATAGATGACATAGAGCAGCACTCTGATTCAAGGCTCTTTACGCCAAAGCGGACTTCACGTTTTGGTTGTTGCGTACGGTGAATTTACCGTGTGCGCGACAGCCTCTGTCGTTACGTACCCAACGTGCTGCGCGTTGTGTTCGCCAGGCGTTGTGCGCACTAAACTTATCACTGTAAACTAAAATTGTCTATTACACAGGATTGCGACCGACTTCCCGCAAGCCTCGCAACCATGGAAGATTGTTAGCTTTTCAAAGCAAGACTAGCTAATACTGAATAATACGAAGCTGAAGAAGTATCTTTACATAATAGTCGCTGCGGATTTCTTCGTTTTTATATGTGCTTTTTACTTCCTCCCATCAGTAAGGCTTTAATTTAATGAAAAAATTAAAGATACGTGCCTCACACAAATGCAAAAAGCCCCAAACTTTATCACTTTTTAAACAAAGTACTGGCAGTGACGATTGAGTTTACTCTTGAATTTACGCTATTTACCTAGACTCAGTGTCGGCAGGAAACACTTCAGGGAATCAGTGAGTGTAGCAGAGCTGCGCCAGCATGACGTCACTAGGCCAAGCGTCACGATGCACACGTGACCTTTGCGTCACTTCTCTACTAATATAAGATTACCGTTGCCTCAACAATAAACGCGTTTCACTGTTCGACTGCCTGCTTGCTTACAGTAATTTACATGTGTGCGCCATATTTTCTGAAGCCCTCATTCAAAGCTGTGCACGACGTTGATGTTTTTAATTTGCGTAGCGCTGATAATTTGGCCACACGTACAGAGTTGGCGTGTACTCCAGTAAATAAAAATTATTCCTAAAGCATCCTTTGTTCATTACAAGCGATAAAATTGTTTGGCATGTATATATTCTTAAAGGAAATAGTATGCCAGATACATGCCGGCATGTAACTTTTGTTTGGTCTCCTACGACTTCTGTTGTGTGAAGGCAAGCCCCGCCGTGGTGGTGGAGTGGCTAAGGTACTTGGCTGCTCACGCACAGGTCGCGGGATTGAACCCGTCTGCGACGGCGGCATTTTTGATGGAGGCGAAAATGCTGTAGGCCCGTGTGGGTGCACTTTACAGAACCCCATGTGGTCAAAATTTCTGTAGCCCTCCCCTAAGGCCTCTCTCATAAACGTATTGTGTTTTTGGGACGTTAAACCACACATGTCAGTCATCGTGAAAGTGAATATTTCTATAGAATTCAGTCGACGCGATGGTTGTTTCACGTTTACAACACCCCTTACACTGTCCAACATAGACCGCAGATTTTTGGGTTACAGTGCATATAGGAGCTCGTGCTGCAAAATACAACATTGGGCTATGACATGTTTTATCTTTAATACTGAGGGAAGTTTTCAAATAGGGCATACACTCCTTCTGCATATTACTGAGCGGCACTGAAATAGTGACCATCGCTGTCAGGAAATGAGACAATGAGTATTATTTACGCCCTACAAGTCCTAAAAACATGATAGACCGCGCAGATTCACGTAAGCCAGTTTAGCGCTTTATTGCAGTTCTAATTATTTTATACAAATTAACACTACATTATTGTGAGGATAGTTGTATGTAACGTTCTAATGAGACTCGTTTAGTGTCGAACTCTCAGCTTTCGTGCGCCTCTAGGTTAGGTACCCTACGTTACTTTTGCGACATTCCCATGGGAAAAATGTTCGGTTTTTGTGGAGGGTCACGTATGTTATCCTTCTCACCTCACAGATGGTTAGGCCAAATAAATTTCGAGACATGTTGGTACACCCTGAGCAGATAGAAACAAGAGATCGGCAGAAACATTGAACGAAAAGATGTTATGACCCACAGCACAGTATATATATTTCATTTTTTTCGCCAGAAAAAATGCTTCGGATGTTGTCGTATGAGCTTGCAGTGCAGTAAACATGTGCTCACATATTTTACGTAGTTTTGGAGTACATACCAGAAAATATTGACTGTATACCAAAGTTTTCAAGTAGGCAGTCAAGAACAGTTGGCACACGTGCATTATGATGAAGTAAGGCCAACAGAGCATGGCCACTACCTGTATGCCCAGCACTACGAATTGGACTTCAGATGGTACGTATTGGTGGAGTTTGGAGTTTGACATACAAA